GAACTTTCAATAAAAATCATACTTTTTACATTAAATTCTAACACCACCAACAAATTGTATAATTCTCTTAACTACATTTTATTACTAAATGTGCCCTGTCTAGCAACATATAAAAATGATGTCTGTCGTGATCTGGGACAAATAACCTTGCTATTTGTATTTGCCCCATCCAACTCTCTAAGGGTATAAATATGGTAAATAGGGTTGTTGATTTTATTGCAATCTCCTTTGTGAGTAGCTTATCTGCTCACGCAACCACGTCACCAGGGCAAAATATTCTGTTTCACGGACCATAACAAAATCATACAGTGGAATATCCACCTACAGCCTAAATACGCTTTAGTAAATGTAAATTAACATTATTTTTTGTATGTACTGGTATACTGTAAAATGTATACCTTATGGCAGTGTCCAGTGAAAAACAACAGACGTGCAAACTGTCCTATATTAAGAAAAATGCCCGGTAAAATATTTCCCCCTTCATTACCCGTTGTATTTCACGGTTCCCATATTCAATTGCTGGACGTTTAACTAGGTCACTTTATACAATGCCCGCTAGTTGCAGTGCCAGTTACCAAATCGAGGCTCAATACATCACTCAAGAAATGTATGTGCACCGCACATTGCTGCAACTTATGTAAATATGGGCTGAACCATTGTAAACTCTAGGGGACTCGAGAAAACAAATTCGAAAATAAAATATGCACAGGAGATAACCAGAAAAGAAGAATCCAACTGAAATACAACACAACTAGAAGAACATTTCGTCTATAAAGAAGAAAATCTTACCCAAAGCTGCAAGTAGAACATACAACAAGTTCGTCTTGCTATTCTGCCCCATAGCAGTATTGTTAGTGCCCTTTTACTATGCACGCTACTTCTAGGTGATTTGTTTCGGTGATATAAACAAATTGTATAGACATTTTGTACGAGTGTAAGTAACAGTAATACTATCCCACGTAACATTTACAGAATTTACGGTTTTATATATCGCTACGTAAAACCGTGACTGTCGCGTTATTTTTTTTCTAATGCAATAATTAAAACGTATAGTATTTGAGCCATTTTGTCTAATCATTATATTTTTTAAAATTTAAGATACGTTTTAAAAATAAATAATGCAGTCATTTAGTATGGATTTACTTGTAAATAAAAGTGACCAGTTAGGTAACCCAAGATGCAGCAGCGGTACGAGTGAAGCTGAATTCGTTAAAATTATTTGATATACTGTAAAATACTTTATTTTAGCTGCAATTAATTTTCGCTGAAACGACTTTTTGGGTGTTTTGTATGAAATCTATTTTCACTGATTTTTGAGTTGAGTGTAAAATATAGGAAAAAAAGTATATTCGCTAGATTTTATTTTCATTGAACCATTCCTTCAGTGAAAATAGTGAAAATTAATTCCAAGCGACAATAAAGTATTTTACAGTAGGTAATGAATATACAGAGTGTCCATGCCTACAAGATTGTACAGACATTTAACGTAACAGATGTTAATGGATTCTTTATATTGCGCTGTCAGCTGTTATAACTGTTACCATGGGAAGCAGTCTTAGACATCACGTGATTAAAAAAAACAGACAATTTAAAGGTATTAGAATTCTTCAACATGCAACAAATATAAGAGGGAGGAACCCCACATAGTACACCCTACCCTGGCGGCCATTTGTCAAATTACGTAAACTGGTATGTTTTATAATTTAATGTCTAGTTCCGCTAGCTGCAGATTACAAATAGCCAGGCATGAGGAATAATTTTTAGCGGGTTTCCTGACAAACGTGTACGTGTTAACGATTTCCGATCTTTGAAAAGCAGACGTTGCCCGTGTACGACATCAAATCAAATCTGGTAACGATTTCAAAAGAGTAACTGACAAAACTAAACAATGTAGATTGCCCAGGCGAGAAATTCTCCATTTTACATCGCATTGTGTGTTTGTTAAATGCTCGTATTTATTTTTACGTATATTATTTTACATTTCACTCATTTAACAGTAAACAAAGTAAACATGAGTATAATAATTCCATCTTGACATTGTTTACGATTTCTAGGCACTAGAAACGTCAGAAAACTGATACGGCAACTAAAAATGGATCTTAAGCTAAAAAAAATATTGGTACAGTCTGAGGTGTCCTACATAAATAACCTTGAAGCGACCTTCATATCGTTTATCTAGTTTTGTTTCTTATTTACCTACAGATTTAACAATTATGTTTGTAGTTTAAACACATATTATTATTTATTTAAAATATTATTTTGTTGTTAGAGAATATAAGAGAATATAATGTTTTACAATGTATCCCGTTGTCATCAGATAAGTAACACATTTCACTAACATGTATCTGTGAAAGTGAAAGTTTTGGTGATAACTCGTAATCTCCTTTTATTTAAAAAATATGACATCCAAATATATCCATCGAAAGTTTCATAATTAGTTTATATATTGGAAAATAACTAATAGTTAGTAGAATTTCCTAAAATTGAATCCTCTGAATCAATACTAGGAAAGTAGACACAACTGAGAGATGCTCACTAACAAGAATTCGTCATTTGGTTTTCACGGAATCTCATTAAAAAACTGGCTTGGCTCTATTCTGATGTCATATTTTAATAATACGGTTTGTAATGCAAGCATGATATCACTTGCAAATAGTTGTTTTGAGAACAAATTACATCGCGGCTGGATACCAGTGTTGAATATAGTACGCAATATATTATATTTGTGTATGGGTGTGTCAAACCTTGCGCAAAAAATCACACATTTAAGTGCTCCATTTCCATACCCCTTAAGTACTGAGTTAAATATTCTTCAACAGCTTCTACTACTGATCCGGGATTTATCAGAGCAATTAGAATTTGAGTCCAGGCACGGAGTAGTGCATGAATGTAATCTTCTTTATTTTTATGTTTTTCCCAGCAGTAGCAGCAGTAGTTTCAAACTCGAGAAGTAAATTGTGTTTATCAAATCCCAATTTATTTATTTATTTATTTATTTATTTATTTATTTATTTATTTATTTATTTATTTATTTATTTATTTATTTATTTATTTATTTATTTATTTATTTGTGTGTTTTTATGTTTATTTGTTTTCATTAGGCGCTCCAAATTACTGTGATGTCATCTTTTCCAGAAGTAGTATAAATCGAATGAGGATATTGGAAATTCCCAAAGAAATTTAGCGATTATAACCCAATGATATGTACACTTGAACTTGAGATTAGGGAGTCTATAGAATATGCTTCATTCTTAGATCTGTGCTTTCAATAAGGCCAGGTTTCTAGCCAACGATATGACAAGAGAGATGATTTAAATTTTGTATCATAGATTTTCCATACTTTTGCAGCAACACCCCGTTTCATACTACATATATATTTCTCAGCTTATGCGTCGTGCCAAGACTTGTAATACATATGCAGACTTTTTAACCAATGTTTTATAATTTCTATTGTCTTCTTATTTCAAAACTATTAAAATACCAGTTTTTGTAGAGAATGAGTAGCCTTAACTTTTGAGAGGTTTTGTGCCAGATATTTTTTTATATATTTATTGCAGGATTAACATGGTTAATAGGACAAAACGTAACTACACTACAAAAAACCCCTTTCTATATAAAACATTTCTATAATTACACCAAAACCTCGATAACAAATTAAGCGTCGCATTTAACACAAACACTCACTCACGGTGGTCTTCGCGCAGCGCGTGTTCAAATTTCATGTAAATAAACAATGTATTTTACACGCGTTGTATACGTCGCTATGAGTCTCATATCGAACAGCACACGGCGACCACCGCCCTTTAAGCTTTACAGAAATCGCTTGTGAAGAGAGAATACGTTTAAAAATACGTTTATTTCTTTCCCGTTGTTACCTGCACTAGTTTAAGCTCGTTTAAGCTTAAAAAATAATCTAATAGCATTATTATAAGCCAAGTGTAATGTACGCAGATATAATGAACTTGTAGTTGAACCGATACAAACATTATGGTATCAATGTCACTTGAAAGATACAGACATCCGGTTTAACACAGAAACAGCTTGTGTATGACTCCGAATGGTATAAGACGAGTGTCACATACAGAACAGGATATACTCACTCCTTTCGAAACACAAGAATATATATGGAATGGAATCTATTTATACATATATTTCTCTTACTGATTTCACTATGTATCGTACTTGTGAGTTGTCTAATTTTGTTTTTACGGTTTATTTAGTCAATTGCTTGGTGCTATTGGATAAATTTCCCTATACCTCTATTTTTTGAGGATCTACTATTGGGTATGTTATATTCATTTGCATTGCTTTTGTGAGAGAAACGGTTAAGAGCAGTCTAAACAAGGCGAGCAATCACCACACCCACATTTGATTATCAATATTACTCATATTTTTGCAACAGCTAAAGCAATGATCAAGCAGTTACTGCCTTAATACAAGCGAAAAAATAATTCATCCACGTTAGATTTGATGCCGAACAAGCTAAAAGGAACTTCACATAACATAAACACCTTCGATTAGCTCTTAACGAGCAAATATCCTTCCTTACCTTGTCAAGAGAGATTCCTCTGGTTCAGGGAAATCGACAAATAATGGATCTAAACTGACTGGCTTCTGTGTAGTGAATGTAATAATGTATTTAAACTACACTGTCGGTTCAAAAAGGCTTCATTCTAACAATGAACTGGGTGAATTGTACACATAAATTACCGAGTAACGGATGCGAACGAACACAGTTGTAATTGTAGAAGTTGCAAACATGTTAGTAATTCAAATCTGCTTTTGGTTTCATTTCAGTTACTCGTAGCGTCTACTGGGAAGGAGGGTGCAGTCATACAATGACGTTCGGGGCGACGTGTTCCTACCAGCACTGACATACCAGTGCAATCACGTGTTTGTAAATTGACATTGTTTAAACCCACTTCAGTTTTTTTATGAATCGTATGGAGTTCTCAATCACATTCATTTCCGCTCAATATAAGGTATATAAATTAGATTAGATGGAAGTTTACATCAAAGTTGGATGACTTGGATTTCGCAGATGATTTGGCGCTGATAGCATCCACAAAACAGCATATCCAACAAAAAACTGACAGGTTTTTTACAGAAGCTCAACGAGTTGGTCTAAAAGTGAATTCCCAGAAGACAAAATTAATGAGAATTAATGCAAGAAATGTTGACAGAATTTACATCGATGGCGAAGTTGTTGAAGATGTCAACGAATTTGTGTACCTGGATGCAACCTTAACAAAATCAAGAGGAGGAATGGGAGACATGGAAAACAGAATTTCAAAGGGGAGAAATGCATTCAGTCAGGCAGCTTAATAAAATATGGAACAGTAACAAAATCAAGAGAGCAACAAAACTCAAGTTGTACAAATCATTGGTGTTGTCAGTGCTGTTATATGGATCTGAAACCTGGAAGATGACAAAAGCGCGACGAAAGAAAACTCAATACTTTTCAAACAAAGTGTTTAAGGAGGATAATGAAGATAAAATGGCAAGACCATGTTAGGAATGAAGAACTGCTAACCAGGACTGGGATGGAGAAATTGAGCACTACAGTAATGAAGAGGAGATGGAAATTTATTGGGCACACCTTAAGGGAGGAACCCACAAGCATCTGTAACACAGCATTGACATGGGCACCAGAAGGGAAAAGGAAATGGGGTAGACCCAAAACAACTTGGCGACGCACTGTAGAGAAGGAAAGAAACAAGGCTGGATGGAAGTCATGGGCGGAAGCCAGAGTTGCAGCAGCTGATAGGACAGAATGGAGACGTTCAGTGGAGGCCCTACAATGTATGTGCCACTAGGCATCTGGAGGATAGGTAACAGGTAACATATTCACCTTATGTATCACAGCTGTGCCTGTTTGATACCTGGATAGTAGTGACATTATTAAAGTTGACTGTAATAACTGGTAAGTCAGTGAATTATGTGTTGAATTTAACTTGTACACCACATCAAAATTTATAATTCTTAACGTTTAAAATTTTTAAAACAAAAATTATTATGCTTTTCTCATTAGCATGTGTATCTGGACAATTGGACTGCACTCAATATGATTGTAAAGGTGGGCACTAAAACACTAATCAGTTACTCAATGACAGACATCATAATAACAATTTTTATTTCAGTCAAACTCAATCAAATCTACAATTCACTGACATATTCACTATGTATCATTGTTATATATCTAAGAGGGAGAATGGTCTTCATTTACATCTTGGACACCATGTTCTAAAACATGTGGAGAAGAAAGATCTTCATTGAAATCACGTAGTAGAGAGTGTGACAACTTTCATCCAAGTGCATGGTGATGTGAAGGGAAACGGATCTGAGGAAAAGGACTGTGAAGTTCTCGCCTGCCCTATTAAATATATTGTTGAGCAGTTTTTGTTTGATTTATCAAGTATAGTTCTGCATAAGCAGAATCTGTCATTCAAGTCTGTCTATTGATTTTTGCTGACATGTGTGATTAGTATGAATGTTCAGCCTTACTTAGTATATATATACCGGTATAAGCCAAGTTTGAATGAAAGGTAAATGTGAACATTATAAATTTTAAATATTTCATTAAGCATTTATTGAATTATTGCTATAAATTGTTGCAGTGATTGGTTAATGGACTACGTGGTCACCATTGTCAGAATGCGAGAAAAAGGTCTTGTTGTCAGGACTAGGGAATGTGAAAATCCCGATCCAAATGCATCTTCATTGAACAGCACTTGTGTTTGCAAAGATACAGATCGCAAACTTTGGAAAGCTCTCCAAGATTGCCCAGGTATAGTTGTTGTATTTCAAGCTACGTATATTTTGGTCAATACCTCATAACTATGTTTAGTTTGAAGTGCTTTACTGAAGATGAGAAAAGGTTTCAAATACAAACGTGATAAATATAAAAACAAGCGTCTCATTTCATGATCGTAAAAATAAAGAAAACTTAATAGATGTGATTTCAAATTTCAATACTTTATAAGGAATACTTTATTTTTGCTTGGAATTAATTTTGGCTGAAAGAATGATGCAATGAAAATAAAATCCAGCTAAAATATATATTTTAAATTACAACTTGTCATAAATCAGTAAAAATTAATTCCATACCAAACACCAAAAAAATCTATTCAGTGAAAATTAATTCCAGCTAATATAAAGTGTTTTACAGTAATTCTCTCTATTATTTTTTTGCCATGTGCACATTTACAGAGCATGTATCTACACAACAAAATAAAACAAATATGACAGAATGGCATTATAATATTATTATCAATAAATATTGGCGATTCGCTATGATTGCCCATATAATCACTTTTGTGGCGCTTGTGTGTGTGTGTGTGTGTGATTTCCACGTATTAATATATCGCTCAAACTTGGCAGATAGGTCACACCTTCACCCTAGTTATGAGGAAAAATCCGAAAAAAAAAAATGATTTTTGGATAGTTTTGTGCCAAATGTATCTCTTCTTACAAATTTGGGATAAAACACCTTAGACATAGCTCATTCTACTCAGCTTGAGTGTAGGCACAATGTTACTATTTGAATTTTTGATATCTTTTTTCATTACCGAGAAATTTGACTCCAAATTTGGGGTAACTGTTCACCAGGAATGGCATTTTAACTCTTCTGTGATTTTTCTGGCTGGGCTGATTTGGTTCAAACTTGGCAGAAAAGTCACACTTTCACTCTAGTTAGGTTGAAAAATCTGTAAACAAATTTTGGCCCATCGTTCCCAAAATTCAAAAAAAAAAATTGTTTTTTTCTCAAATTTCTCAGCAATAGAGGAAAGCAGATATTCATTTCCTAAGAAACCAATAAACAAAGGAATATGCAATAACTGTGACACAAATTCAATTGAAGATGAAGAACATTTTCTATTGAATTGACCAAAATATAACACACAGGGAAAACTCCATCCACAAAAATTATGATACTACTTTCATCAAAAAATAAAAATATACAGTTCACATGTATACTCTTCTAGCATAATTAAAGAACTTGCCAGTTATATTTACACAACACAAGATTTATTTAACATTTAAATACTAGTTACGTAATTTTTTTATAATATTTTTACATACGAAAATATTATATATTGTTGTATATCGTATATTAATATCGTATATCTTGTTATTTTAAAAACTCTTTTTTGCTGTACTTATCCTATGTAAATCTTTTACACAGAGCATATAAAGTTATTATTATTATTATTATTATTATTATTAGCAAATGTCAATAACTTGTCTTGTTGTATTTGTTATAAGTTATATGTTTTTGCATCTTGATTAATTGCTCTATATTAACTACAAAAAATAACCACTCAGACGCAAACAATATGAAAATGAAAAGCAGGATTTAATAAATAAGCTAATTATGTGAAATGATTAGACAGATAAAATGATAAACTTAATTATAAACAAAAATAATAAGCTAATCAAAAAAATATGTAAATGTATTAATAACATCTTCAAACAAAGGAAATCATGCAGCTGCCTCTCTATTTTTAGGGAATAATTGTGTAATTATTTTTTCAACAACTGCTTGTCAGATTACATTGAAATTTGGCATGAATGTTCCCGACTAGGCTCTGACATACTAAATTCATAAGTGAATATTTTTGGGTTTTTTGTGCTAATTTTTTACTTCTTCTCCAAAACCGCCTGCATGATTGCTTTCTTTCCTTTTTATTTGGTAAAGATATCTCTATTTTTGTGAAGTTATGAATCTTTTTGGTATTTTTTCCACTTTCCCATTTGTTCAGTATTGGCTACAGTGTTCTCTCCGGACTGCATGTCAAGCATCACAACTAATTTGCATAATAATTAGTTTCCCAAACATAACTACAATGAAGAAGAGATATTTTTATATCTTATATATTTTATATCATTTTACATCATTGTTTTGTGTGTATCAAGTCAAATAAAGTTTGAAATAGAACAGCAAAAAAAAAAGGAAATACTTATAGCCAGTCTGTGAATATATTGTTATCCATGGAGGTCATTATTTTGTGTAAAACAAGTACCGGTACAGTCAGTTTTAGTGCCCATGTCACTGTCAGTTCATAGAAAACATTTTTGGTTGAAATTGTAAAGTTTGAGATTGTGAGTTATCAAAATATGATGAAATTAATAAATCAATAATGACAACATTTTTTTTTACAATGACATTTCAAAACTAAAGTCTGCGATTTTTTATTGACCTTATACCTCGTGCAAAAAGATACGATCACTCCTGCTATTGTGTGTATTGCTACCTGACTTGTTTTGTCGCATTGTTGTTGTTACATGCAATGGGCAAATTATTACTACCCAAGTATTTGTTTTTGAGTTTGCTGGCTTCCGCACCCTTGGTAACTTCTTGCAGACTACCGTTTTTGTAAGGCTACCAAAGGTGGGATTACCTTTCGTTCAATACATGTTATTGTTTTAAAGTTGTGCAAGATGAGACTGACACTTGTAAACAATACAATAATCATCGCAGACAGGATTCCAAGGATCGCGGGTGAAACAAATGCGATTCATTCTATTTTGAGTTTTAAAAATCTTGTACGACAGCCATATCATACTTCACGATCTCAATTTCTTCAAACTGGTAATAATACAATTGCCCAGTTTCTTTATGGTGCCAAACTTATCAAAAAGTTGGGAGTCACCAGCTTCATTTTCGAGAAAATGATGCATTTTAGTGGATAGTAACCATTTTGGTAGTACTACATTGCTTTCACCAAAGTTTCCTTGGCAGAGATATTATGCCATATATCAAATTGTAGGCTGGTGACATACATGTAAGCCGAAAAAAATAATATATTGTTAATGATGGGGCACTTTTTGTTTTCCTGGGTTTTAAAAAGTGTCAAAAATGCAAATTTTTTTTTAACACTATGTTATAGGACAAATCTCTTTTTTTTTTGCAGGAGATGAACAATACACAGATGATAAGTAGACGAAATTCCAGTGTGTCTAACTACACGTGATAATGTGTGCAGTCCTGGATCTTTTGTAGACCGTGAACCAGGTTGCCTATGTTCTTTGGGCACCGTAGAACAAGGTAGTGAATGTAATGTTCATTCAACATGAGTGCATTTGCCTCAAAATTTTTTCCAAGTTGTAGAGAAAAAAAAACTTGTATTGGGAGTATGTATCTTGAAACAAAAAGAATTTCGCATGGTTCTCAATTAAAGATGACACATTTTCTTATATTAAGAAAAGACAAGAATACGTGAATCTCAATTCAAGAATTTTATTTTCTTAATAAATTCTTCAGCAAGAAAAAAATCTTAGTCTTAAATTCTTACACGTATTCACGAAATTCTTCCTAATTTGAG